GATGAGGTCTCCCCTCAGCCTCCTCTTCTCCAGACTAAACACCCCCAGGTCCCTCAGCCGCTCCTCGTTCGATCTGTGCTCCAGACCCTGCACCAGCTGCGTTGCCCTTCTCTGGACACGCTCGAGTCATTCAATGTCCTTTTTGTAGTGAGGGGCCCAAAACTGAACACAGGAATCAAGGGGCGGCCTCACCAGTGCCGGGTACAGGGGTAAGATCCCTTCCCTGTCCCTGCTGGCCGAATCAGGGAGCACAGACTGTTGGAAGACTTGTTCAAATTTTAAAGAGGGGTATTTTTTTCATATGAATTGCATTCACAATGATTGTCAAATTGTTCAATCTTTTTTTCTGTGGAAGAGGCATTGTGGGTGCCATTCTTCCACTTTACAAACCTCCTAGCATGCAGGGAGGTGTGTACAGCCCACTGCAGCACAGTGCCTCTGGGTTTGTAGCTCCTGGGAACTGAAAATCCAGGTACATGGGGCATCTGTTCTCTAGTGAGTCACATCCAGGTGGTGGTGAAACTTTTTGATGCCACTTTGCAGATGCTGCCCAGAATGATGTTCCATGCCAGAGCTGAACCACACACATGTAGGGCTCAGGAGGCAGATCAGCTTCCCTGCCCATCTGCCAAGACAGCCACCAATTTGTCAGGATTACTGCTTGCACGGTAGGCATATCTGTGTTAGCCTGAGGTAACTTGTAAACTTAAGCTTACGAGAGCCATCACTTAACTTTTACACAGCAACCAGACTCACATCCCATTTTCCCTGTTCTTTTTCAGGAGGTTTCTGCTATATGTATGAGATCTTGTGCTGGTTTTAAGTCAATTGAAGGGAATGGTAAAAAAAATCCAATAAGGCTTCTAGATAAGTCTTTCCATTTCAAAACAGCACATTTTCAAAAATAATGGGTGCTAGGTGGTACAGAGGTAAAACAAGACTTGTTGAACAACAGACTGACATAAACCCTGCAAAGAAAATCAGAATAAGAATTTAGCCATATTCATCAAAAGAGAAGAGCAAAACCCTGCTAAGCATGGCCTCCAAGTGCAATTAATTTTCACTTGTGTTTTCAGTAAGGAGGATGATGCTGAACAGGAGAGCAAAATAATAAATGGGAATGAAGTTACAGAAATGGAAATTATCACATTGGAAGGGTGGTTTAATTAAATTTAATTAAAAGAAGTTTAATAGATGCAAAATTGGGGGGAAACGGGGACTTCGGATCTCACGTAAAGTCATGAAGACTAGGTCCTGGTATACAGGTTTTAAACAAGTCCGTACAATCAGAAGTGGAGCTCTATAACTAGACCAAAGGCAAAATGTCCTGTTTGTACTCAGATGACTACAAGCCACCAGTGCAGCATGGCCATGAAAATAAAAGTGCAGTCTCTGGTGTGTACCTGGAGTTAGTATCCCTAAGGAGTGTGGGAAGTGCTTGTACCATTGCACAAGGTCCCACAGGCCTCACCTGTCTCCAGCCCTGGGCTCCAGAAAGGTGACTTCAGAGAGGTGCGGGTACAGGGAAAGGCTCTCACCCATACAGAGGAATGGAGAGACTATCTTACAAATGGAAACTGGAAGAGCAGGGTCATATGAGCCTAGCCAAAATAAGTCTGAAGGGACCTCTCTCTGCACTCAGAAAATATACCAGAAGATAAATGCCAGGAATGGGAAAAAGCTGTTTCACTAAATGAATCTTCTGGCACAGGAACAAAAAACCTGTCGATAAATAGATTTAAGTTGGCAGTTTTTCCTATCGATGGCTAACTACATAACAGCCACCCAGCAGGTGAAAACACATTAATACCCTAATTCAAGACAGAATGGTCAGTTAAGCAAAAGGGATTATACGATGGAGAATGGGTTAGAGGAAACACTGGATTTGGTTGTCCATGGAATCCATATATTCCTTTAGCATGTTCTGAGTTCAGAACAATTATAGAATTTACCTTTTCAAGTAACAAGGACTACCTTTTGACTTCTCAGCAAGTGCTGCTATTAATAATGTTATCAATGCCACAGCATTAGTAATAACTTTCACTTCTAGCAGTTATATGCACCCAAACAATGACCTCTTAGTATTTTTCAGCCTGCACAGGATTTGCTACTTGGTAATCATCAGAATATTTTTATTTACTTCATGTGGACCCTGTACCTTTTTACAGATTACAGACAGTGTTTAATGCTTGAAGTTTGCATATACCTCCATGATTAGACTAACAAGATGTGACCTCTGTGTTTTTCTTGGTGTGCTTACAGGGACTTGGATACTTGCCAGCCAGACTGATCCATGTTCTTAACCCATTTTGTAAATGCAGTTACCAAGGGGCTTAGATAAAGTCAGTGCAGGAGAAAATAGAGTTACGAATAGGCAGGGTATGTCTGTTTAATACCACAGAAACTATTCCTTCATTTGCAAGGGAGCCCTTCAAAATTGTTTTGTCACAGTGGCTTTTCCATGTTGGCAAGTTAGCTCCAAGGGTGCAACTATATACCAGCTGAGGCAAAGCGTAAGCTACAGTTGGCTTTAGCAGGAGCAAGGCTTAAGAGCATGTTTGAATCCTGTGGAAAGACACCCACACTGCTTCACCAGTGCCCAGAAACAGGAGCTCTGGGGAGCTCTTGTCAGAGCAGTGGGAAGAATATGTAAATAATGCAGCTAAGAATATACCATATATTGGTATATGGAATATACTGCCAGTTTCATAGGTCTTGTCCAGATTCCTGGCTGCTTCTGGGCATAGTCTGCACAGGGACAGCTGAAGTGCTAATGAACTTGCACACTGGCAGTGCAACATGGGAAACGAGGAAGGCTAACAACTGATGGGACTGGCTTGGCCACAGGTGTTTGGGAATCAGGGATAGTGAGCAGAGAGAAGAAAATGCACAGATGGCCCCTTTAAATTATGAGAATGTCTTTGGATAAGGTAGGAAAGGTAAAATAACATTTTGGCAGAATTTCCTAGCTACTCTGCATGAGGGGGGACATGCAGGTGTACTTGGGAGGAAGGTGGGTGTCAGCAAATGAATATCTCACCTAGCTAGTGACTCAGCTCTTAAGCATAAGATCAACTGCTATTTTACTTGCCAGTGGGTACCGAAGCCACCCAGAAGAGGTGTTGTGGCAGGTTAGACTCAGAACCTACAGGAGAGCTGTGCCCTTCTGAAATGCCAGGGAGGCACCCTAAGAGATACCAGAATGGACCAAACACCTATGTTCAGGCACCTGATTCACCCTGTAATAACCAATTTCTTGCTGAAATCCCTTCACTTTCACCATCTTCAGCACCAAGAAGCAAACAACAGTGCCAGAAAACCAAGACAAATAAAAATCTCAAGAAATGTATGGTTTGTTACTAGTCTATGCTAACCCTGTCTGAACCAAGGTAGTCAGATCTGGCATTGTAAACTTTTATGCCAGTTATTGTGCTAATGAACCTATATTATTTGTGGGGTGGCTATTTTCTGCCTAGTGTTGCTTTATAGAGCATCCTTGAAATAACAGGGCAAATGTTAACTGATTGCAGCTTTTAGTTAGAAGGATTTTTTTAGCTGATTTGCTGAGTTAATAGGCCAATGTTCTTACCTACACCAGACAACTGTAATCCCGAGGTTAGAAGTGATATAACCATATTTAGGAAACACAGTTTATTACCTGAAGCTTTGGCTCTGAGAAAAGACAGCTTGTAGACCCAACCATTAAGAATGATTAACCTGCTGCTGTGCTACCTGCAAGTTCAGGTCTCTGCCATCACTTTACGTACAAAATGAGTA